GAGAAAATGTCCCTATAAGATTTGGCTGTAGGGCATTTTCTTAATTAGTGATTGATGGGGAGGGCCCAGCCCATAGTGGGTGGGGCCAACCCTGGCTGGTGGTCCTGATTCAATAAGAAAGCAGACTGAGCAAGCCATGTGAAGCAAGCCAGTAAGCAGCTCTCCTCCAAGCCTCTGCACAAGCTCCTGCCTCCAAGTTCCTATCCTGTTTGAGTTCCTGTCCTGACTTCCTTTTATAATCAACAGTGATATAGAAGGGTAAACCACACTTTCCAACTTACTTTCTGGTCTTTGTGTTTCATCACAAACCCAAACTAAGACAATCACAGTGCCAGGATTGAAGCCAGAGCCTTTCACAGTCGAGGCAACCATTCTAACCCTGAGATACCTCTCCACTTCTTACTTCCAGCTCTTAGCTACAATTTCCATAGTGAACAATTCTAAAAGCTCTCTAAACCACTGCCACTTAACTTTTAAAAACTTGCTTTCTTTTGGCAAATAAAAATGTCATTTTCTCTTTGCAATATTTGAAATTAATGCATACATTATATAAACAGCTTATGGAAGCTTTTTAATATTATTTTCCTTTGTATCTTGCAAGATGTTTTTCATTGCAACCGTCATCTCAGTGATTCAATGTCAATATGACTATTAACACAGCCTGTGGGTCCCTTTCCTGACACTGGAAACGTCAGAGGAACCCGAAACCATTGGACAATTAACTGTGAAGCTTGTCTCATTCCTTTGCTGAAAATAGAAAGACGGATGGATGGATGGATAATTGATAGGTAAGTAGAAGGATGATTGGTTAGACAGTCAGATGATAGATATATGGATAAATAATAGATAGATGGTAGGCAAAACTCCTGCTTAAAACAAGTGTTATTTCCATCCCCATGAAAATACTAATTCAAATAATTCCCAAAGGAAATCCCATGAAAACTGTATGATTTGGGAAGCTTCCAATGTCCTTTACTCACTCACCTCTGTGGAGGGTACCCATCAGGGCATATAGCAGAAACAGAAATTACTCCAAATACAACTCAAGAAGGCTAGTTTGGAAAACATTTGAGAGTGCTACCTTGTGCTGAGATGACATGCATCGTGACACCCACAGGTCAGCAAAATTACAGAGACAGCTGGAGCGATGTAAACTCAGGACTGTACCATCATAGTCTACAGGACTTGTGCATATTGTCTAAACTGAGGTGCTCCCAGGGTCGAAGATAGGGGGCAACACAGTACCTTGGATGAAAGACAGGAAGTCCTTCAACAGTCACAGACTGCTTAGTCTGTAATTGAGTCAGAATCCAGAAAGCACCATAGCATGTATATGTATGTATGTGTGCCTGTTTTATGTGTATCGTGTGTGTAGGTGCCTATGGAAGGCCATTCGAGGGTGTTGGATCCCCTGGAACAGGAGTTATAAGCCCTTGTGATGACCAATGAAGTTCCTGGGAACCAAACCCAGGTCCTCTGCAAAATGCTGAGCCATCTCTCCAGCCTCACCATGAGCATTTTTAAACTTTTTTATTGATGACTATGGCACTGAAATGAATAAAGAGAATGAACTGAGCTATTCTGACTCCAGTGGCAGTGTCCCGAGACTCTGGGAGCTTCCTTACAAGTTTTCTACTACGTAAATACTTTTTCTAGGTATATACAACATCTAAAGTTTTGAAACACGAAGAATGCAGAAATCCCACATGCAAAAATTCAACTATAGCATTATCATTGGATTTATCTATACATAAATGTTTATGCAGAAATTATTTATTGAACAGCACTATTCTTAAGCCTGAGTATTGAAGTACATATGAAATTAGCGTCTTCTAAGGGGCTCCCTGGTAGAGAGTTCTAAAACAACATACAAAAAAGAAAAACACCAACAATGTGGCTTTTGGAGCAAGTTCCTTGGGCCTTTAGAGAGAGAGGTCAGTCATTTTAAAAGAATAAGATACAGAATACAGAAAATACATTTTTGAACATGAAGTCATTATTCAAATTAAAAGTGCTCTATGAATGACAGACTATTCCATGAAGATGATAAAACATATGACACTTAGTTACCTAATTATTAGCTCCACTGAGTGCAAAATGCAAACATGGCAGGTATTCAGTAAGCATTTTCCTCACTAACTACACTTTCCTCCTGCTTGGACTTTGCATTTTCAGATGCTGGATGCTTACCTGGAAACTGACATCTACTTGGTTGCTAAGCGATAAGATGGGTTGGCAGTTGTTTGTCTTTCATGGAGTTGCCTTCTAGGACTTTGCCTGAAGATAACCGAAGTTAACCGTTACCCATGTGGGGCCAGGCCCGACTTGTACCAGGAGCCAGTGCAGTGTTTCGGAGGAGAAGTCGGGAACATTGAATTTGCACAATTTAGAACAAATGACTGGCTTCCCCAGAGCTTAATTTCACTTTCCATTTCAGAAAACTAAAATGTAATTGCATTGTCTTCTAACCAAAGTTGACCGATGGGTCTCCAGTATTAGAGCCAGGTAACATTTTGACAAGAGAATCTTATAAGCTATAAGGTCATTCAATCAATCTGCATCCTCAAAGTGGAACTGAGGCCAATATTCTAAGAGTATTTTCTTCCCAGAATGTCAATGAGTCTTAAATGTTTTGAGGGTCAAGACAGTTTGGTCTATCAAGGGGCTTTCAGGGTCAAACACAAATCCCTGTTCTGAACACCCTATTGGCCATTGGTTTATCACAAATAAATACTGTTTACCTCATCAGTCAGAATGCCATTCTACAATCCAGAATGTTAGAATTCAATCAGAAAATGTTTTCCAATGGCACAGAGCCTCCAACCTCTCTTGACATTCATGTTTCATAACCTTTCAAGGACAATCTTTTAAGTCACGGTTGAGAAAAACTCACAGAAAAAGCATTCTTTTTTCTATTATTTTCCTTTAATTAAATTAGATTTTTTTCAAACATTATACTCTGATTACAGTTTCCCCTCCCCAACTCCTTCAAGATTCTTCCTACCTCCCTCCCCTCCCATCTAAATCCACCCCCTTTCTAACTCTCATCAGAAAATGGGCATCTAACAGATAATTATAAAATAAAATAGAATAAAACAAAAACAAAGACAAAGAAGAAAGAGAAGAGGAAAGAAGAGAAGAAAGAAAGAGAGAGAGGGAAAGAAAGAAAGAAAGAAAGAAAGAAAGAAAGAAAGAAAGAAAGAAAGAAAGAAAGAAAGAAAGCCAAAGAAGAGGCACACGAAACACACGTAGATGCAGAGACATTCATTCACACACACAGGAATCCCATAAAAAGCATTCCTTTGCAGAACTATTTCAACTTACTGAAACTCCAACAGGTTCGAGTTTAAGGCCCATATGCTGATCACAGAGGCATTGATCAATTCCTGTGATTTCATGCAGTGCTTCCCTGGAGTCTATCCCAAAGAACGCGAGCTAATGTTTTCCCCCTCACTGAGTGAGCTGGCAGTACCTGCTTGCCCAAGCCTCTCCTAACCTTCCTCTAACCCTCATCAGCCAGCCACTCTGGTGATGACTCTCTGAACCAAGTCAGATTGATACCATTATGATTCCAGAACTCATTAAGAAAATTCTTGTGCAAGCAAGGTCCTCTAAACGTAGACGTACAACTCTAAAAGGGGCCACCTAGTGCCCATCATCGGAGACATGAATTCACCCCTGTCCTCTGCACTTTCATGTATTTTATAGAGCCACACCTTTATAAACAAGTCATTTCATACTAAAGGGGAAAGTAAGCAATATGTAACACCCAAGGAAAGACCTCAAATGGCACTTAAGAAAGAGGGGAGAAGCCGGATTCAGGAGAAAGAAAAACATTAAGATAAACAAAGAAGCCATTCTACATCATAAAACAAACGTGACAGGATGTCCCTCAGGGGTTCTCTGCCAACTTGGGGCTGCATACTCACCCTTAAGAAACCTTGGTCCCCTAACAGCAACTGCCTCTCTCCTCTGGATTTTCCAGTAAGTTTTGTGCGGCAGCAACTATCTCATCAATATGCACATCCTCGCCTATAAAGCTTCTGTCCCCAAACAGAAACCACTGAATGTCCTCAGGGACAGAAACCGCCGCCCCAGAGGAAAGCAAAATCAAAGGCGCGAAGAGAAGAGGTGTAAACACGGGTGCCTATGGCTCTAATATTACCCAGAACTGGCTGCAAACCTCAAGGTCCACATAAGAAGCAAGCTCCTGGGCTTACTCCTGCTCCTGGCCCTGCCAGAGGGGCCAGATGAGCTCAAGGAGGCTGCAGTGCAGATCTCAGACTCCAAAAGATCCTCTCACCGACCCCTGCACCCCCTCTTCCCCCGAGGCCCTGATTTTTTAACTCCTTGACTCCTCTTTGGGGTAGGTAGTACAAAAAGGTAGCCAAGGAGAAACAGGCCTGGCCGGGTTTTTGCCAGGAGTTGCTGAAGGTGGGGTTGGAGGTGGCCGTGGAGAGGGGGTCTCTTTAGTCAACTGCGACCCCAGCATCCCTTCCACATCTTAAGAACCAGGAACCACTTCCTCTGAGGCAGGCGGCAGCCAGAGGTTGGGACTGGGGGTGAGAAGGCGCTCCCAAGCACTGCAGCATCTTTTCAGGACCTCTCAGGTGGGCACAGCCTGGGTAGGTTAGCTGGGCCAGAGCTCAGTGTACCCGGGGGTGGGACTCGTGTGTGTGTGTGTGTGTGTGTGTGTGTGTGTGTGTGTGTGTGTGTGTGTATACGCGTGCGTGCCGGGCCGGGGGAGCTCCACCAGACAGTAATCAGGGTCACAGGGGTACCTCCAGCAGCCATCCCCTGGGCGGCAAGGCTGAAGGAAGGATTGCAGCGGCAAGCTGGGAAACTTGGTAAGAAACACACAAGCTGCCTCTCAGGCAGGACGTGTCCCCCAACCCCGAGCTCTCAGATGCGCCCCACAGCCTCCGGATTCACCCATCCTCACCCGCCGTACCCGCAAAATTCCCTCCCCCGGAGCCCCAGGATCCCAAGCAGGATGTTACCTCTCACAGAGGCTGAGTAGGGGGCGATAGCAGCGGCAGACACTTTCGAGCTGACTTTCCTGCGTTCTCCAGTGAGAGCGTGTGCGCCCAAGCAGAAGCTGTAACCTGCTATTTATAGCGGCGAGCTCAGCACCCGGGGCTGGGAACCCGGAGGATGCTAGCGCGCAGGGCGCGGGCCGTGGCTCCCGGCTCGCTGCTCCCCGCTCCGGGCTGGCAGCTCACGCTCCGCCCGCCGCCCCGCCGCTCGCGCCCGGGAGAAGTTGCTCCTCGCCCGCGGCTCACACGCCCCCTGGCACTGTCGCCATGTCCCCACCCCCCAACGCCCTGCCTCTCTTCCTCGTCGTCGTAGGCTCACTCTCTCGGAGCGGTCTCCTCCCAATGTCACCAACCAGCCACCTAAGAGGAAGAGCGGAGGACTCGCAACTGGCGCAGCTCGCCTCCCCGCCACAGATGGAGTTGGTGGCCCGACCGCACAGCTCGGAAATGACCACAACACGCTGCTTCTGTTTACTGACACCCGCCACTCAGACTCTCTGTGTTGTCTCTGAGGACAGCTACCCCACCCTGGGGTGTGGGATCACAGGAGCGAAGGGGAGGGTGGCCTGAGGCAGCCACAGTGCGACCAGGGCAAGAGAAGTGGCTACGGAGGAGAAAAAAATAATAATAATGCAAAAGGACAAGAGAAGGTGCCATAGACCAGTCCCCAATTGTCCCCGGAGAAGGATTGGGCGTGGGAGGCATGTGAAGCGGTGTCCCACGTTCTGGTGACTTGTGTATGTCACGGTCCTGAGAACTCTTTCTCCCTTGACCCAGGCTGAGCAGACCTGGGCACAGGGGCAGCCCACAGCCAGTCCCTGCCTTGCAGAGAGTGGCAAGTGCTCCCAACCACGGGGCTCATGCCTTTCTTTGACAGCCTGGTTGCATGGAGACAAATCCGCCCTCGGTGTGTTTGGGGTGTCAGGAAATTGAGTGTGTAATCACGCAGTCTGGAAAGAGACTAAAACTCCCCCACTTCCTCGCCAACAAGCCCACGGGGTGATGGGTAGCCTGGATAGTCCGGGCTATGGGGGTGGGGCAAATGGCTCTCCCCATCTGCGCCTTACAGGTGCCACCTGGCGGTTTTCTTGGAGAGATTTTGACCACTCTGCTCAGAGTTAATCCTGCCCAGAGCTTACCCAAAAAGGCACGCTAGGCTCTTTTCTTACTTGCAACCCTTTAAACTGGCATTTTAAATAAAGTACAAATGCTTGTACACAAGTGTGACATTTGTCAGACAAAGAGCCTGGAATCTTAAAGTCAGTGAAATCAATTTGGGTTAAGGCAGTGCTTAACAGTATTACAAAACGGGAAGCTGTGTCTGCCCCCAGCTGTCACCCCTGCTGTCACTGCCTGAATCTAGACATCCGTTTACTTCCCAAGTATTTGCTGCTAGATATTCTTCGTTGATGAGGGCAGGGATTTAGATGGCTTCAGTCCTTTGGGGCGGGGGCAGGGGCGGGAATGGGGATGGGGGGAAGGGGGAGGGGAAGTGAGGGGGGAGGGGAAATAAGGGGGAGGGGAAGTGAGGGGGAGGAGGTAGTTTCTTGGGTTGGTTGGTTGGTTGGTTGATTGGTTGGTTGGTTGGTTGGTTGGTTGGTTGGTTTGGTTGGTTGGTTTGGTTGATGATTGGTTTGGTTGGTTGGTTGGTTGGTTTGATTGTTTGGTTTGTTTGGTTGGTTGGTTTGGTTTGGTTGATTGGTTTGTTGGTTAGTTGGTTTGGTTGGTGGATTGGTTTGGTTAGTTGTTTGGTTGGTTGGTTTGGTTTGTTGGTGTGTTGGTGAGTTGTTTGGTTGGTTTGTTGGTTTGGTTGGTTCATTGGTTTGTTTGGTTGGTTAGTTGGTTGGTTGGTAGGTTGGCTTGTTGGTTTGTTGGTTGGTTTGGGTTGGCTTGTTGGTTTGTTGGTTGGTTTGGGTTGGCCAGTTGCTTGGTCTGGGTTGGTTAACTGGGTTGGTTAGTTTTGTTTCATTTGGTTGGTTGTTTGATTGGTTTAGTTTAGTTTTCAGATATTTTGTTTGCCTTCTATACTCCCAGAGCTTGGAGCAGTATTCAACATACTATAGTTTTAACAAATGTCTAAAGAATGACTCATAAACACTGTGGGCCAGAAGCTATGTTGACTCCTTCTCACCCTACTCTCTGCAGCCTTCCCTTGCTTTCTCTCCAAGTCATTTCTGCACTGCTCAGCCATCACAGGTGAACTGAAGGGAGGAAAAAGTGGGATGCTGAGGACCAACTTGTCCATCAGACCCTGTCAGGTCATGGGCCACCCTTGAGGAGCTGGCTGTGTGCCTATAACACACTCTGGCAAGCAGTGGGTAAGTCCTGCTCGTGCAATCTGCTGGAAAGATGGTGCAGTCTACCACAGGCAGCAATTCAGCCCCTAAAATATACCCAGAATGGAAGACTATGAATGCCGGGCTCCAGAGCTTCACCAGCACACTGAAAATGCCACCAATGCATCTGTCCTCTGACTTCAGAGAAAAAGCTGTAAGTGCAAAAAGAAGATGGCAGTCTTAGAAAGGAGATGCTGTAAAGGCTGCCATAGAAGTGTCCAAACTAGAAAAGTGTTCGCTCTAAAATAGAGTTGTCAAGCAGAGTTACTGATGGGACACAAATACTCAAAGTGAGACCACCATCACCACCACCACCACCCAAAAGCCACAGTGTAATTAAAATTCAGACACAAGTCATTCTGACCAAGCTCCTCTACAAGGCTTCAGAGAACAATGTGGCATGTCAATGTATATCTACAAAGAAGTTTAAAATAGAGGGGGAGGGGATTCTAGGGATCTGTGCACCACATAGTATCGTAAAGGATTCTATCACCTTTTTTTTGTTATCTGGTGGCATTTTCCCTGTATAAGCCTGGGAGATTCAGATGCTGCTGTGGTTTATTAGACTCAGGCAGCCTCTGCTTTCAGAAGCCTTGAACTTTCAGCCACTTGTCCTCCTGAAATGTAACTCCATTTACCAAGGAAGGACAGAAGATTTTCTCATTTCCTTTTGAAATATCTTTCTTTGTAGGGCCAAAAGTCAAAGGTGATTCCCAAGAGTTAGCATGCTGTTTAAAGCAATAAAAGCAAGTGTAGGCAGTGAGATTGGTATCACCGCTCCTTTTCAATTAGGTGGTTTGCTCATTTACCATACATAGATTCATTATCTTTAGAGAGGCCATCTGTGGGCATCTATACTATAATAACCCTTCACTATTCAAAATGTCTTCTGAAATATGGCTCCATGTGTGGTATTGAGCACCCCGTGTGGTATTGGGCTTCATCTTAACCATAATCATTCATTCATATTAATGATACTCGGCAAAGCAAGTTCGGGTTTTTGACCATTTTTTTTTCTTTTCACCCCTTTATTGAAACTAGATTCTTTTCTCACATAATATCCTGATTATAGTTTCTCTCCCTCTTCTCCTCCCAGTTCCTTTCCACCATCCCTCCACTCTGTATCCTCTCCCTTTCTGCCTCTTATTAGAAAAGAACAGGCTTCTAAGAGATAACAACCAAACATGACAAAATAAAATATAATAAAATGAAGCAAAAACTATCATAACAAAGTTGGACACAGCAACCCAACAGGAGGAAAAGAGTCCCAGGAGCAGGCACAAGAGTCAGAGACCCACTCGTTCTCACAGTCAGGAGTCCCATGAAAATACTAAGCTAATAGCTGTAACACACACACAGAGGACCTGCTGCAGACCCACACAGGCCCTGTGCTGGCTGCTTCAGTCTCTGGGAGCTCATGTGCACACCTACTTAGTTGACTCAGAGGGCCTTGTTCTCCTGGTGTCCTCCATCCCCTCTGGCTCTTACAATCTTTCCTCTTACTCTTCTGTGGGGTTCCCTGATGCCTGAGGGGAGGGATTTAATGAAAACCTCCAATTTAGACTCTCTATGTGCATAATGTCTGGCTGTGGGTCTCTGCACCTATTCCCATCTGCTGCCAGAGGCACTTATCTATGAGTATAGCAGGATATCATTATGAACCATTTCATTGGTTTTTTCGACCAGTAGTGTCTGGTGTTACCCTAGATCTCTGGGCTATCTAGTCTCTGGTTCTTAGTCACCCAAGCAGTGTCAGGTGTGGTTTCTTCATGAAGTGGATCAAAGCAGACATTGGTTGCCTTCTTTCACAAGTTCTGTGCCACCATTACCCTAGCATATTCTATAGGCAGGAAAGATTATAGATCAAAGGTTTTGTGGATGAACTGGTGTCCACCTTTCTCTTTCTGTAGCCTGCAGAGTACCTTCCCACTCCAAAGAGACTAGAATGTAGGAGTAACAGCTCCATGTAAGCACCAGCTCTTGTTCAGTGAATTGTGTGGGTATTATCCTCAGAAATGGGACCCCACTGTCAGTTTACAAAGAGCAGCCTTTTGTCTTCACAACAGTCTGGTTTGTTTGGAGATTTCTATGGGACCCCCTTAGCCAACAATTTAATTGAATTTGCCCTAGTACCACCACTGGAAGCCTTGCCTGGTTACAAAAGACGGCTAGTTGAGACTCTGTATCCCCCATCACTAGGAGTCCTTATGAGGATCATCTTCATAGATTCCAGGAAGATTCCACTGCACTACGTTTCCACACCATCCACAAATTCCAGCCTTCTCTCCCTGCATTCTCTCCCTATATGTCATCTCCCCGCTACATCTGATTCCTACCTCTTGATTCCCACACTCCTGTCCCACCCATTCTCAGTCTGCCCCTAAAATCTATTCTATTTCCACCTTCCAGGGAGATCCTTGTGTCCCCACCTAGAGCCCTTCTCTTTACCTAACTTCTCTGGATCTACAGATTGTAGCTTGGTTATTGTTTATTTAGTGGCTAATATCCCCTTATGAGTAAATACATACCATATTCATCTTTCTGAGTTTGGGCTACCACTCAGGATGATTTTTCTAGTTCCATCCATTTACCTGCAAATTTCATATGTCATTTTTTAACAGTTGAGTAATATTCCATTGTGTGCATGTACCACATTTTGTTCATCCATTCTTCCATTGAGGGACATCTAGCTTGTTTCCAGTTTCTGGCTATTATTAATAAAGTTGCAGTGAACATGGTTCAGCAAGTGTCCTTGTGGTAGGATGGAGCATCCTTTGGGTATACGTATAAGAGTAGTATAGTTGGGTTTTGAAGGTAGAGCAATCTCAACTTTCTGAGGAACTGCCATGTTGATTTCCATAGTGGCTGCACACATTTGCACTCCTACTAGCAAAGACGTTTTCCCCTTGCTCCAGATCCTTGCCAGCATGAGCTGTCACTTGTGCTATTGATCGTAGCCATTCTGACAGGTATAAGATGGAATCTCAGAGT